GGAGTGACTGCAGCCCTCCCATACCTCACCTCCTAGTGCCATCACAGCTTGCCCCAAGCAGAGCTCCACCCCAGCCCCATATCAAGAAGAGCCCAGTGCTGCCCACAGCAGCATCCTGCTCTCACTCCGCGTGCAGATCTGGGGAGCACACAACCCCATGCCTCCCCCAAGGGGGACGCACAGCAGCAGGAGCTGCTCCCCACCCCTCCCTTCACCCCCTGGACAAGCTGCTTATAGTTCTGTCCTGTGCCCCACCTTGCCCTGCCCTGGCTGTGCAGCACCTGCCCCTGCCCCACTCTCTCCCTCACCATGGGGTCCTTGATCTGCCACCCCCAAGTCCCTTCCTTTCCCTCCACCCCTTCCCCCAAACAGACTACCAGCCCAATGCTGTTCTCCAAGCTGCCGGGCTGCCTATCAGCAATTGGATCAGCATCAGTCGATATGGTTCGTTAATAATCAGCCATCAGTATCAACTTAAAAAACCTCTATTGGTGCACCCCAAATTTTAAGGTCACATGCAGTGCCCTATATTCTTTTTTTAAAATCTGAATATATTTTCTTTGAATAATTGTCCAAAATGTACAATACCACTATGTTCCCAAATATTAAACCTTCCTAATTATTAATAGAATTAAATTAAATATTATTATGTATAGATGTTAAAGGTGATGGGTATAAGCTTAATTTCTTGTACGTGTTATCCCATGTTTTCAGTGTTGTTCTCAGAAAAGGATGATTATATATTGAATTTGACCTGGAATATTTCTTTAGCCACAGTAGTATATTATGTTTGACTGTTAGAGAGCATGTTTGCTCTGTCTTTACCCAGTGCTTACTGTGAATTGGTGTTATCCAATACACCAGGTTTCTAAGTTGCCTGGCTTGAAAGTAATGTTTGGGAATATCAGTTCCGCCCTTTTGCTGAGGCCTTTGCAGGATGGAATTTTTGCATCTATGTTTCTTATTTCACTAAAATAATGTGTGTGTCATAGCCTGCCATTCATCTAAGAGATTTATTGGGACTATAATAGGCAGTTTGGAAAAAAAAGTTAATCTGAGGTAAAATATTCATTTCAACTGCTGCAGTTCTATGTAACCATGACATTTCACAGTTTGATCAATTTGCTAAGTCTATTTTGATTCTTTCAGTCAAAGGAACACAATTAGAACTGTTCAAGTCTTGCGATTTTTTAGTAATGTTCACCCCTAAAAATTTTAATAAAGTCATTACCCATTTATATTTATAGCTACCTTTTATCTCTTTTTATGTATCTGGTAGTACACGAAGGTACAGGAGTTCTGACTTTTCTTAGTTTATTTTAAGTCTCAAAACTCTGCCATATTTTATTAGTTCTTTTTCTAGTTCAGACAGTGTGTCAGTTGGTTTTGTAATGAACAACATGTGTATCATCATAATATAGCAAGCTCTTATTAGCCTGATACTCTCCAAGGACAAGTAGCAGTCTCCTTGTCTCAGAGTAATTTGCTGTAGAAGGCCTGCCGATGAGAGTGCCTATAGATGCTGCTGCAGAAAGAATTTTTGCAGAAGCTAATCTTAGAGTTTTCTCATTCTTAATTTTTTAAACAAAGGCTGATAGTTATAATCTGTGATCCACAAACTAGAGACAACTTTGTCTTGTTCTTCCAAGTTAAAACATGAGAGCTGCCTTGTAGGCAAAGCTGGCATGCAGGTGGGAGTGTGAGTGAGTAAGGTCTGTGATTATAAAGGTCAGTTTGCCTCCAACTGAAATAAGGACATTATGAAGCATACTAGGCCAGAGTAATTCCTGGGGTAACTTCAGAGACTCTATTTTCAAAACCACTCTCTATAAGAAATGCCTTCTCTTTATTACAGTCCCATCCTGATATCTGCAAATTACTGTGCTAATGAATACAATGGCTAAAGCATGCACAAAGTCAAGCGGAGTTATACCACTGTTGAAACTGTCCCACAGAAAACTGAACACAATGAAAATGTTTGATGAGTTCTTTCTAAATATAGCTCCTGCATCTCACTTTTCATTAAAATGTTTTTTTAAAAATCCTGAAATCTGATTCCTAGGTATTCTCAGGTGAATAATCACTGTTTAGACTTTTACTGCACAGTGAGAGCATCTACATGTGTATTAATGCACTGTTGTTATTGGGCATTAAGTTTAGTACCTGTAATAGCTCAGTACCCTGCGCTACTGAGCAGTAGTGCCAGCACATGGTCTTTTAGTGATGCTAATGTGCAGTAAACTAATACCCACACATTAGTTGTGCACATTAGCACAACTTTTGCCATGACATGCTAATGCCCAGTAGAATTAGTCTATTGTGCATTCAGTGCCTTGTGTAAATGCACCCAGTGACTAACAACCAGGCAATACATAATGCTCCTCTCCCATTTTTCTCACTCCAGTTAACAGTTGTCACTTTTTTCAGTACTTGTTTAAAGGTGGACCCTTTCTTACCTCTCTCTGCAGATTGATATCTGCTCCTTGCACTACTAATTCCCGCACACAGTCTATGTGGCCATAGTTAGAAGCTACCATTAAAGCAGTTGTGCCAAGCTGGGGGTAAAAAAAAAATAAAAAAATAAAAAAATCAGCACTACAGTAAGACGTCTATGACATTGACTCAGATTAACCAGAAGAGACACTGATGTTTCAACAAAACTGCATTTATGACCACTGATTGTAACTACCCAGTTTCAGTCTGGTGCAGGCCAGGAAGCTTTGGCAACAAGTTAGCAATGACAGACATTTGATTGTACCTGTGCTGGGGCCAGGTAGCTGGCAGTTGTGCCAGTGCTGCCACCACTTGTTCTAGCCCCCTGCTCTAGGCTGGGGCTCAAGCAGTTTCTAGCAGGAGGGGAGCTGCACCAAGGCTGGACAGCTGGAAACAGTATCTACTCTGCTTCTCCCCATCCCCCACACCTTGGCTGCAGTGTGGACACAGCTTGCAGCCAACTGGGAATCGTGGTGGGGCCATGCAGTGGCAGGCATCCACCCTGCTGCCACTTCTCCCTTCCTAGCTACCCCCACTGCCCCCGCCCAGCTGCACCGTGGGTATAACTAGAAGCTGCCTGGCCCAGGCTTAGTTCCCCAACAGCTGAAAGCTGTGCCTGCACTGAAGCTGAAAAGCAGGAGAGGTGGGAGCAGAGGGAGAAGTGACAGCAATGTGGGTGCAACTTCCAGCTGCTCAGTCCCAGTGCAGCTCCTTACTGCCTAGCTCCAGCACAGAAGCAGTCTTCTGGCTCTGTGGTCCAGATCCAGTGGCTCCGTGGGCAGTATCCTTATGTTGCTGAACCCTGATGTAAATTACCAAATCTGGTTCCAGGGGTGTCCAGAAAAGAAGAGAGCGTTACTCATGGTCCATTAGAAGCAGCAGGGGATGAAACCTGATTTCAGTCTACCTCTGATATAATATCCAACTCTAGTCATGCACTCAGAGTTATGAATACACCGCAGACATACAGGTAACTCTTTTCTCCATGGGTATCTGAGCTCATCTTCACCAAGAAATCTTATTGTGTCCAATTCTCCATTCCCCTGCACTTCCTACAATCACTTCCACTAGCGCAAAGTGAGTCCAAACTTTGTAGCACTTTGTACCAGTGTAAATGAAGAATATGGCTTGTTTTTATTTAAACTTGATTGTGAATGGTTGAGTTAATTAACAATATGCTGATCATGCTTCATCCTCATCAACAATAACATGTCCATCACAGTTTATATCATATAAGCGAGCTTTACTCTGCCACTGCACATAAACATAATAAGATGTCTTTGTGAGGAGAGGCTCCTGGTGCCAGGATCTGCTTTGTAAAATTTAAACTTCAAAAATGAATAGTTTGAGAAAGTCTTGGGTTTTCACAAACTATAATTCTCATGCAAAACCTGCCACCAATGTAATCTGTCATGCTATTACACCTCTACTTTAAAACCTGCCTTCATGGCAACTACAAGTTTTAAGTCATACTTAAACTTCATAAGAAAGTCAAATATTTGCAGTAAGAGTATTGCTGTCTCCTTTTCCCCAGTACGTTATGGAAAGCGATATAAACCATTTGTTTTAGGAATGCATGAATGAGTGCTTACACTGTCTCTGCAGTCCACATCTATGCGCCCACTGTTCAACAACAGCTGAAGAAGAGCCAGGTTTCCTTTTCTTGCAGCCCAGAATGCAGCATTTGCTAGTGGTGTTTCTTTCTGCAAAAATGCAAAATGTTTAAATATTTTCTCAGTTCAGTCCACTCTGGCAATCTTTTATAGCCCTGTGGAGTGAGGGGTTATTTTACTTTGTAAGAGCAATTTAGATAATTATACATTTCTACGTAATATCTTGTGTCGTTTCAAATGTGTCTGTGGAATATGAGTTAGTGATTTATGTCCAGTCCCCAGGGAAAAGGAGTCCATATCATAAAAAAGTGCGTCAGAACTTTGCTACTGGGTACCTCCCCTGTCAATCTCAGCAGAGAAGTCAAAGTCAGTTCATATGGAGACTAAACCACACTGCTCAAATATCTCATTGCAGGGTCTCCTGCTTTTCATCAGTGTACAAGTTGCAGGGTATGAGTAGACCTGCTTTTGAAGTTCCCATTTCACTGTGTTTAACTGTTCCCTTTAATTAGCAGTCTGCTGGTGACTGTAGGCTGGACAAGGTTTGGAGCACAGCAGATTCACTGATATGGGGACTACATGAGAAAAGCTTCCAGACCACAGTGGAGAAAGGAAAGAATCACTAAGAAATACAATGGAGAAGAATGGATCAAGCAAGAATAGAGGGGGCAAGGTCACAGGAAAGAATAAAAAGGGAGAAGGAATTACAGTGGACAGAGATGTAAGAATGAAGGTAAATGGAGGGTGCAGAGGGAGGGATGAGTTGTGAGGAAGGTGTAGAAGAAAGAAACAATGCAAGAAATATGAAGGCAATATTTGAAATATATTATACAGTATATCATGTCTCACACTTAGTGGCCTGTATCTGGGGTGTCAAGTAAGGTATAAACTGAACTACCCTTTTAAGATATGGTCTAAAACTATTGCCTTGTCTGAGTCATGTTAGTTTTCAGGACTATCACTATAGAATTTCACAAGCATTAACATTTCACTTAAAAATAAAGTAACTCAGACTCCCAGATGTATGTACTGAGGCCAGAAATGTTTAGAATACAATGAGCTGAATCCAAACTCCAGTTAGAATTGAAATCCCAAGCTTGCAAAATTGACATTTTTAGAATCAGGAGTCGTCTCTCTTTACATTAGGTAACTTTATATAGAAGCCCCTCCAAAGATGCTCCAGTGTCATATTCAATCAGCACTAACTCAGTGGGGTTCTCACAAGAACACCTGGGAAGAACTAGATCATCAGCTTCACTTGGAAAGGGTGGAATCTGTATTTCAAACATTGTTTTGTCTACTCAGCTTGTGGGGACCAGGAGATGTGCACACACAGCACAGACACTCTTCAGTGTAATATGCCACTCAGATGATGCAGAGAGAGGATGACCTTAAATATGATGCTATCAAAGATCTCCAACAGCATTTATTACTTGTGCAAGAAAATGTACAGGGAAGATATAAATGCAAAATAGGGAAGCTATGAAATATAATACAGATCACTGGTAAATAGACTGCATCGCTCCTATGATCTCCTTGAGTCTCCTCAACCCTAAAAAAACATCCAGAGTGTCTCAGTGACTCCCCAAAGGTCAAATGATCACTGCCCCTGTCAGGAGACAACAGGAAGAAGAGGTACAAAAGCACCATTTAATCCCTAACCTCCATGACAATCTGTACATAAAGCTGCCCAAATGGTGCCACATAAGAATATGTAATTACAGATGAGTACTGTTGAGGGTGCTCAATGCCATATGTGGTAAGGTTTTGGTCAAAACCATGCCCCTGTAAACCAGCAGATGGGTTCAATTTTGAAACTGGCCCAATACTGCCAAGAAATCTTTTCTGGTCTCACAGTGTGAAACACGAGTAAGACTCTGTGTGTGTCTTTGAGTCTGTTTCTGAGAGGATATGCAACTAAAATCTACAGGGGACTATCTCCAATGCCTTGAAGCCTGCATCATCGTTTAAGTCTGTGCAAGGCATAATACAATGCTATTATGATTGATTGGATTTTCTACCCACTTGGCATTTCATATTTCATAAGTCCAAATGACTATGCTCTAATGCAAAGCAGTGGAGTACCAGGTATAAATTGTTTCACTGGGATATTTAAAGAGAAAAACATATTAGAGCTCAGACTAAAATTTCTTTCCCTGGCACTGTATGCATAAGCCTTGCAGAAACCTGCAGACACAAGCTCAACAGTATAATAGGTGTGACAGATCCAGGATACATAAGTATTTAATTGGTTTTGTGCTAGTTAGTTTTAATATTTATAGCTATTAGCAACTAAGAGAATTGGCAATCCCATGAAAAGTTCCTGCTGCCTAATAAATCACAGTGCACTTTTACAAAAAGCATGAGAACATTTCACATACCAATATACTTGGGGCAAGAGGACATTAAGAAGTATTAAAATTGGCAAAAGAAACTAGATTCTGATCTAAAGTAACCATGGATAAACTCTGGAATTACATAAGCAAAACTGAGATAAGACCAGACCAATATTAGTCTCAATCTCAGTATGAGACTGCAGGCTCTTGGTGAAGAATGACAGTTCTTCTAGCCTCATTGCATTCATCCCACTCAAATTATTGATGCAGCCAGACAGGTGGTCTACAACTCCAGCAGATGCATCATATTCTCTTCTCTCCTACTGACAAATACAGGAAAACATGAACTTATCTATATAGTGATTTTTGGAATATTATTGTTGTTATGATGTTCAAGAAAAATTGAATACAAACGAAAGGCCATGCATTGGACTCACAGTTATTTTCGACTTTCTGGAATAGAGTTCTAGAGTGACAGACATGACTCCCTGGATTAATTTTATTCTCTCCCTCTAACCCTTAATGTTTTGGAAAACTCTGGGGCATGAAATACATGCATTTCAGGAGAAAGACTGTCATCACCACAGTTTATGCACCACTCACATATGTTGGTGGACACTAGCCTATTGATCTTTACCTCTACAGCAAGGGCTTACAGATCAGCAAGGCCGAAATCATGCCTTTCATTTTGGGGTGAGCTGGAACTTTTGATCTGGCTTAGGCTGAAATATCACTGAATGGCCCCACCACCAGAATCCTGCCAATATCCAGGCTTCACAGGTCCAATTAAATCACTTGGTGGGCTGGATCTGGCCTGCAGAACCAACATTGCTGTTCACTGGTTGAGGGAGTTGGATCAACATAAAACCAGTCTGAAAAGAGAATCCAACTTAATCTTTAACTTTGTGGTTCATTAAATTCTTCATTTCTTCTTCCTGGTAATCCTTTTCCACCACCTGCCCTAAAGCAAAAGTCTTCTTGGGCCTTCTGAATCAGATCCAAGCTATGATTGAGCTCAGGACATGAGTCAGGCTTTCTTAAAGCCCTGTTTCAGTTCCAAATTGGAACTGCTCTGCTAGCAAATGCCCTTTTCTTCCCTCACACCACACACTTAGACACTCTCAGTAAAACTTAAGTATATGATATACCTACAGACTGACCTATATCATGGTCATCAGATAAAAATAAAAGGAGGGAAATTTTTTTCACTATTTATATTCTAAGCAGTTCAAGGAAGATAGTCCAAGCCAGGCCAGGACATCCTTAAGAACAATGGAGGCCAACTTTTTGGCAAGTATGCCACAAGTTAGCCACTCAGATCCCTTCCCCTGTCCAATCTGCTGCTCTCCCTTCCGTTCCCTTCCCTGTGCTCTCTGACTGATCTACTGCTCCGCTTTCTTCTTCCTTCCTTGTGCTCCATGCCCAATTTTCTTCTTTGCTTTCTGCTTCCTGCCCTATCTGCTACTGTGCTGCTTGTCCCATCTCCAGTCTTGGGTGTGCCACACAGAGAAGCTGCCCATGCCACAGGCTGGACAACCTTGCTACAGAAAAACCCTCTACATACCATCTGGAATTAATCCATAAGTTTAAAAATAAAGATTGATACAACTGTGTTTTTCATTTTCAAATTATAGTAGCAATTAAGTGACTTCAGATCAGGCATTACTTTGGGCTTAATGACCATTTGGGTTTAGTGACTTTTGAGCAAACAACTCCTCCTTGTTAGCCTTTGAGCTACATGAAATCTCCTGGGCCCTGATCATTATCGCTAAAAAGAAAAAAACTAACTTAATCCATTCATTGACAATGTTAATTTAGAAGAGATAGAGGTGCGCCGATACATTGGTCTGATATTGGATTGGTACCAATATAAAGAAAATTGACTGTATCAGAAATTGGCCCGATGCAGCCGATAATTTGGCTGATAAATGCTCATGCGTACACACAGCCACAGCACACCACTTAGGCAGTGAGGAGCACAGCCTGGCAGCGTGGAGAGCTGCATGCAGCTAGTAAGTCTGTTGTGGTAAAAGGGGAGCAGGGGCAGATCAAAGCTCCAGGAAGAGCCGGGGCTGCACCAGATGGGCATCAGTGTCAGTGCTAGGAGTGGGGCTACAGAAAAATTTGGGGTGGTTGCAGCCCCCTTCGTAGCCCCACCCCGAGCCCAGCCTGCACCGAGAAGAGCCTGGCACAGCCCCAGCACCAGCCCACACCGCCCCATGTAGATCCATGGGCACATGCTCCCCACCATTCCCTCTGGGATGCAAATAGCAGTGGGAGCTGTCCCCACCCCAGCCGCAGTTCCATCCCATGCCCTGCCCTGGCTGGGCAGTGCCTGCCCCTACCCCCTCCCTCACCATGGAGGGCGTTGATCTGCACCCCCACCATGTCCCTCTCCTTCCACCACAATGGACTTACCAGCTGCATCGGAAATCAAATCAGTATTGGCTGATATACCTCCTTAAAAATCGGCTATCAGTATTGGCCCCCAAAATCTCTACCAGTGCACCCCTAATAAATTGCCTTAAAATTCCTTAAACTATCCTCTGTTGAAAATGTTGACTGTTGATACACTTCCAGTAAACTTTAAAGGTGATAGGCCAATACTGTACAAATGCTAAGCTTGACACCCACCATAAGTTACCTATTCAGAAATGCTCAAGGAAGCATTAAGGATATTCTCTAAATCAGACAAACCCATCTCTACATGGCAGAACAGGAAAATGTGAAATGATGTTATATAATTTTATAGATCAGATAAGGGATTAAAAAAAGAAAAAGTAATTAGCAAAATAGAAAAAAAATAATTAAAATGCTTTCTAAGTCCTCTGATTTCAAAGTTAAATCTCCTGCTGTATCTCTGACTTGCTGTATGTCCACAGATGAGAGAGGCAAGGGTACAGCTGAAGAGGAAGGGTGTGGTTCCAAAGGACTGCAGAAGCAACAGTGATCTAGAACAGTGGTTCCCAAGCTTTTTAGACCACAGATCGGAAGCAACTGCAGACTGGCAAACTGTGGACCGGCATACTGCGGACCAGCAGCCAACCCTTTTTTATACCGAGTACAGAACTCAGTATAAAAAAGCGTTGGCCGCCAGCCCGCAGTATGCCGGTCACTTCTGGACTTCCGGTCCGGCAGCCAACTCTCCTGCAGACCAACCCTTCATAGTCTGGTACCAGGCTGCGGCTCTGGGGTCGGGAACCTCTGATCTAGAAGATGGAGGAAAAGAGCCAAAGGGAAGGGAGAGAGATTAGAAAGGGGACCTAACCTGACTGGGTCTTACTCAGTGCATAGTGAAGTTAACGGAAAACCTCCATTTCCATTGAATACGCTCTGAGAGCAGAGGAGAGGGTTGGGATCAAGGGGGTCAAGAAGCAGAGTTGGAGACTTGGATTGAGGAAGATGTAATGGGAAGTAGAGATGGGACTGCAAATCAGGTTGGATGACTTTTCTTAGACACCACAGATACTGTCTGTATACAAAGATCCTGAGAAAAGAGGAGCTTAGTAGAAGGGGGTGCAGAAGTGAGCTTACGCAGGCAAAAGTTTAGGCCAGCTGTTGGAAGAAGAAATAATAGTAATTTGGAGAAAGAGGGAGAGAAATGGCAAATCATTTGCAATTCATAGGTGAACAAGGAAGGTAAGGAGGAGAGTGACAGCAACTAAAAAAGGGGAGAGAAAGAGCCCAGTGTAGGTACTTCAGCCTTCTGGGAGAGGGAGAGAACACTAAACAATAGAGAAGCCACAGACATAGGCTGGAAGGAAACTAGAGCAAGGGTGGAGAGATGGAATTTGCAAGAGTTGTACAGGTTAGACAGTGGGCCAATTGGAAATGAAATTCCAGAAGGAGAAGGAAATATGAATTACAGCATGAAGAAAGAGACAAGCCCCTGAAAGAAAGATTAGAAAAAGTGAGGTTTAAGGGACATGGTTGAAACAGGAGGAGAATGTAGGTCTGGCATTATGCAGATCAGCTGTTACCAGCAGCCAGGACGAAAGTGAAAGCGAAGGGGATATATAACAGTATATTTGTGAGAAGGTAAAGGATTTTGGGGGGCGATCTCTTTTATTAGACTAACTGTATAGTTAGGATAATGTTACACAAGCTTTCAAATGCAAAGAATTCTTCTTCAGGGAAAGGAAGAGATGGGGGAACACAAGGAGATGGAGGGATCTAAATACAATGGGAGTCTCAAAAGAGATGATCAGAGATTGCAAGGGTTAGCAGAATAAGTGTGGAGAGTGTTGTGAAAAAATATATACTCTTCAGGGCAAGAACTGTCCTCCTCTGCATTTGGCAGTCACCTACCACATGCTAAAGCAGGGGTGGGCAAAATGCGGCCCACCAGGCCATTCTATCCAGCACACAGGGCGCCTAAAAAAATTTAGAAAATTAATATTTATCTGCCCCTGGCTGCCTGTCATGTGGCCCTTGATGGCTTACCAAAACTCAGTAAGCAGCCCCTCCACCCGAAATAACTGCCTGCCCCTGTGCTAAAGGCTTAGGGACTGCAGTTACTGGGAAAGTAAGCAGCAAAAAAGAATAGAGTCAGATTTACAGGAATGAGAGGAAATGACAACAAACAATCAATCAAGTAAAACAAAGTAATGCAAAAGCAAAGCAAATAAATTAACAATGATCTGGCACAAAGCTGGTCATCAATACATGAAGAGCCAATAAAGGATGTGGAAGTTGCATAATGGGTGAAGGGCTCTATGTCCACAATAAATACTCTCCACTTTTATCTATACATTGCTTTTTGCTTTCTTCCTTTCCGATTGCTCATTTTTAGTAATCTCCTTTTAGGATATAAGAATTTCTTTTAAGAGCTCATGTGTAAAAGCCTGTCATAACATTCTTAGTCAATGCACGGCTCTGTTGGGACATCTCATGTTAGGACAACTCTTGACATGCTTTTAAAAGTAAATATTTCCTGTTGCAATATGGAAACCTAAATACAGCATTACTGTTTTAGCCTGTCAGCCACAAAAGACAAACTGACTAGAACAGTGATGCTTAACCTATTTGGCAGGTGGGCCAGATGGGCAGTGCTTGGCCCATCTGCGAGCTGGATCCAGCCAGTGGTCCTGATCCTACATCTGGGCAGGTGCAGTGGGCCCCATCCAACTGTGCAGAGTAGGGTGGAGACAACCCAGCCTGGCACCGGAAGTGGGCTTTAACTGTCCCCATGGGGAGAAAGGGGTCTGGATTTGCCTAGATCTAGATGCCAGGAAGAGGGGGAGTGGCCTAGCTCTGATCCAGACGCAGGCGGAAGGAGGCACAGCCTGGATCTAACACACCACACCGGGCTTGGGAATTTGGTGTGGGGAGGGTGACCCGATTAATTGCCACTACCCTCCCAGCACCAAGTTCCCTGACCCGTGGGGAGTCAAGCGGGCCAGCTGCAATGCTTCTGTGGGCCACGTCTGGCCCATGGGCCAGAGGTTGAGCCCCCCTGGACTAGAAGAAAAAATATGCAGCCAGCCAGTCCAGTTCCGCTGACTTAACTTGAGTGAAATGAAGGCTGCAAGCCAACAGGGCCTTTACACAAAAGAAAATCCAGCTTAACAATTATTTAATTTTTTTAGAGCCAAAGGAAAGAGTTTTCAAAAAAGATGCACAGTGCCACACTCCACGCCCCTGCTTAGGTTCTGACTGTCCTCAAGCAAAACAGAGCCTCGCAGTGCGAGGGTATCCAGTTATTTTCCAAATACAATTTGAGTTTCCTCCACCATTAACACATACCCCTGCTGCTACTTTGTTCCTTGTGCTAAAATAACCCTAGGTTTTTCTTCAGACAAACACAGATGACAAGATGGGGTGTTGGTTGTAGCCATGTTGGTCTAAGGCAGGGGTGGACAAAATGCAGCCCGGGGGCCAGATGCGGCCCACCAGGCCATTCTATCCAGCCCATGGTGCCCCTAAAAAATTTAGAAAATTAATATTTGTCTGCCCTGGGCTGCCTGTCACGTGGCCCTCAATGGCTTGCTGAAACTCAGTAAGCGGCCCTCTGCCCAAAATAATTGTCTGCCCCTGGTCTAAGGACACAGGCAGACAAGGTTCTTTGGGTAGATGCGATATCCTTTAATCAGACCAACAAAATAGCTGGAAAAATTGTTCTTTGCAAGCTTTTGGGCACAAACCCTTTTCTTCAGGCATAGGGAAAATCTGCTGGTGTTTGGAGGACAAGGCGGGGCACTTTGCAAGGAGCTGAGAGTCTGGGGCAGCCGAGAAAGGGTCACGGGATCTCAGGGGAGGTGAATCCGACATCATTTGAGTTTAGTGACTTTTGAACAAGCAACTCCTCCTTGTTAGACTGAACCCCAGGAAATCTCCTAAGCCCTGATCATCATTGCTCAGTCTGGATTCAACCTTGTCTTTCTGGTTTAAAGAGAGAAAAAACAAACAAACTAGGTTCATCCATTTCTTGGCAACGTTCAATGCTAAGAGATGAAGTACAGATAACGGTAATATCCAGCATCCGCAGGGTCCTTTTGGGGGCACGTCCCCAGCCCGCCACGTGTGCCCCAAGGTCGGTTCCCAGCCCAGACTGAGCCCGAGGATGACTCACCAGGATGCCGCTCCCCCGCACACGAGCGCCCGCGGTCCATGCCCCCGCGGAGATGCAGGCGGCGCGGGGCGCCCCTCCACCTCCCGGCTGCTCCGGGGTTGGGGGTGCCCGTGCCAGAGCCCTGGGGGCAGGCGGCAGCCGGGGCCCTGCGCAGAGCGGCGGAGGCTGCTG